TATATATATATATATATATATATATATATATATATATATATATATATATATATATATATATATATGTATATATAATAAAAGTGAGTGCTGATAGTATTTGGATTCTTCACTACCATTTAAAATCCTTTTTTTTCCCACTTTTTCAGATAGAGCTGATTTCAGGATAGCAATGCAGAAAAGATGCTGACAGATGCTAACAACGCACAAGAAGAGATCATGATGACTCGGAAACCAATTCTGGAGCAAGATCGTTTCCTCCCCATTGGTATGCATATTCTTGTGTGATGGCATGACCATCTACAGACGAAATGTTGAATTTTGAGTATATTCTGTTCATGTACATGGCATTTTTTTATAGCAAATATATCCCGACTGATGAAAAATGTGATCCCTCGTTCCGGAAAAGTTGCCAAGGATGCAAAAGAATGCGTCCAAGAATGTGTCTCCGAATTTATTTCTTTTATTACATCCGAAGCCTGCGATCGTTGTCTTAATGCAAGTGTATTTTACTTTAGATATTTTGAGCAATGAAGCTGATAATAGTATAAATGTTCAGCATTATTTTGGAGCTTTTTTTAAATCGCGATATTGCATCGTTCGAGATTGAAATGAGTGAGATTTTGGGATAGTAATGCTATTACCAAAAATTGTAGGAGTTAGAGTGTAAATTTATTTCATGTTGTATTAGGTATGTAATGGTGTTTCTGTTTGTGTTTTTTTTTCCTCTTTTTTTTTAAGTATTTATGAATGATGATGTTTATGAAAGTAAGATTTGCAGGAGAAAAGAAAAACGATAACAGGTGAAGATATTATTGGAGCATTTGCTGCTCTTGGCTTTGACAATTATGTGGAACCGTTGAACGCATACGTGAGGAAGTATATGAATTTCATCGTATTTTCACCATTTATCCAAGACAGTATTAAATCCTAACTCAGTATGGTAGGTAGGAAATCGTACGTTATTCTGTGGTTATACTTGCAATCATTTCAGATTTCGGGACGCTTTTCGTGCCGAACGTAGTAATAGTGAAACACTTGTTGAACCTTCGAGATCTCATTCTTCCTTTATGGTCGGTTTTCTTCAAAATTATTTTTCTTTCTCTCGCAAACTGATTATCCGACAGTCAAAGTGTTTTCAATCTTTCTCCTATTGCCGGAGAACCCCTGATTTCAGCAGAAAATGAATGTTCGTGAGTCGAATGAATCCGCTACCTCTTCTGGTGCTTTTACCATCCAGAGTGAACCGGTACCATCCACAAGTGCATGTGCTCCTCAAATTATTTTTGGCGGTATAAATTTCAATACCTCTGATTTAGATTCCCGAGAGTTTCAATTTGAAGATGTGCAAAAACCCCACCAAATATAATGTTTTTGAATAGACGAAGTAGAATTTTCGGGAAGATTGGAACTTTTCATGATTATTATGGCGAATGTGATTTCATAATTTTTATAGGTGAAGAAGACCCGGATGGTGCAATACGAGTGATGAGTACGGGCAACGTGCAACATTTACAGCTTCTGATGGATCCTGCTACTGGTCAGCATTACATTAATGTGCAAAATCCTAATGGTACTCAGCAACTCCTGCCTGTTCAGGTAAATTGCATAATTTATAAATGTATACTTTTCCGAAACAAATGTTAAATTCCTTTAGTTCCATAAGTTTGATGGATTTATTGTCATTTTTCGCACAGGTAAAAACCAGCAATTTTACAGGTAACGGCAGTTAGTGACTCGTCTGTTATACCATTAACTTTACCTAGTCCGGACATGCAAAACCTAACGGATGATAAGACGACGGAAGACGACGGAAATAAAATGCTTAATTTCTCGACAAAGACTGAATTCCGGTCATCACTATCGAAATCTGAATCGTATAAGGAGTTAAGTTGTTCCGCCAAACACTCTTTATCTGAATTTAGAATGTCAACAGTGTATTTTCAAATTTACATGTAAATTTTCAACATCACCCAGTTCATCTCGGTCGTTCACTATACCGTCTTTCTATAATGGCGCGAATAAGGACCGAACATAACTTTTATGGGTCCTTAAAAAAGCGCAACTTTTTGACCATACTCTTTGATCCTTCCTGTAGTTAGGTTGGCTATAGTTCCACTTAGTTTCTCTTTCAAGTTTTCAAATAGGATTTTTTCCCCGTAACTCAGAGCGTACTGTTTTAGGGATCACAGGTTACACGGCATAGTGAAGAGCAGTCTAGGAGTGGTGCTACTTATGGTGTGAAGCATAGTTCCTCCGGGCTTTCGACAGCAAATCAACACAAGCAGCAGATGCCGTATGTTGGTAATGTAGGATCATTCGGACATCATCACAGTAATACTGATGCTGCTGGTGGTGGTACTCGGGAGCCACCAAGAAAACGATCTCACGAAAGTGTTGATTTCATTAATTTTGAGTGAGCATGTATAGTTTCATACAACTGTTTGTTTTGTTTAATGGATTTGATCGAAGTTGAGCAACCGATCAACCGCTTTATCTTATTATTTTTATATTTCTTCCACTTCCCCTCTTCTCTTCTTACCTTCCATCTTGGGCCTTGTCACCATTCCTCTGCCTCCACATTTCTTCCACTTCTTTCTACTGAACAACATCAATTGTATTGTGCAGTTCTCCTTCATCCTCTTCATTTTCAAACCAATTGAACTCTCAATGCATACTGGTCTTTTCTCTACTTTTTTCGTCCTCAAAAATTCTTCCGTTCTTTGAATTTTCATTGCCTTTTATGTTACAGTGTTTTTTTGTTCTTAATGTCCTTTTAAAGTCATTTGAAATCCTTCCAAACACTAACTTATTCTTCAGCAGGAAAAGAGCTGGCGTCATTCATTTTTCTCTTCGTTTTAAAAACGTTTTTAATTTAAATCTTTTGTCTTTTACCTAATACCAATTTTAGTTTGATTCATGTAAATGTTTCTTATTTCTCTTAATACTTATGATAGCGTCTACATGATAGTGTTGGTAGTTTGTTTTTCCTCTGAAGGCGTTTTAGACTTAATTTATTTCGCAGCTTATTTGAAACTTCACCGTTGAGAATACTGGAGAGAAATTAGTATAGGTTTAATTTCGAAAATAAAAAAAACTTTATTGACTATAGCAATATTTTTCTTTTTTATTCCGGTTTAGTGCTGTTACTGGATTTCGGAATTTCATTTCTGTGATCTTTTTGTAATTGTTGAAAGTAAGACTTGCTTATTCATTCAATCCATGTCTTCTGAAATGTGGTTTACTGTCCTTCATGAAACATCCATGCTTGTTACACTTCGTGTCCAGTTGTCTATTATCATGATTGTAGTATCCCTCAACTGTTGTTATTTCGTTGTGTTAGGCTGTGCAGGATATTTTCCCTTGATTTATGCAAAATTATTTGTTGCTTTCTAGGAATACTTGCTTTTTTTGCTGATTTTGTCAATTTTGTGTCATATTTCTTGAATCCTGTTTGCTTGTTTATTAATGATTTTAACTTTTTCAATTCCAATTTTACCGGAAATAAAAACGTGATTGGGTTCTCTTTTTTTGCATGAAAGAAAAAGAAAAAAAATCCACTTCTGTCTTTGTTGTTATAAAAAATGGTTTGCATTACTGGAGGAATAATGAGGAGATTTTTACAAAAAATTCCCATCCATGCTGTAAACATTAAACTCTTGTTCCGCGTTGGTACTGTAAGATTGCTCTCTTAGCAAGCGATGAATTTGATCAGGAATAAAGCCTTAGGCAATGGCTGATGCTGTTGTTTTCTTAGAAAACAAACTCCAGATGGTAGTCTTCAACGTGAGTGGATTTTGCCGGATTTTTTCGTGGAACCAACAACTAACCTTTGGTCTAGCCTTGTTGTTAATACTGATCAATAGATGATACCAAATATAGAATCTGATTTAATGGTTGAGTTACCAGAGATTTCGGACAAGTTGTCTTTTCGATGACCTGATTAATTCTTGAAAGATTTCCTCCATTTCCTTCTTATTTGATAGGTAAATTTATCACTCATCTAATGTATATCTTGAATTACTGCTTCCACGATCACTTTTATCCCCTAAACTAGACAATCACCTGAACTGTGGACGAAGACACATGTTTATTTTATAATATCCTTATCGGGCAAAGGATTCTTTTGTTTTGTAGCAGTTGCGCGATACTTATGAATTTCTTTGAAAATTATTTCAGCTATCAACAAATCATAAATTTTCTGTAAGCAGTGGTAATGATCCAATAATTTCTTAACAACGATTTATACCTCAAAGAAGTCAATTTAATTCAACAAAATTTTTTTCGAAAAATTTATCCCTAAAACTTTCTGGAGAGAGGAAGAAAAAAGAACGGTTTTTTATAATTTCAATCAATTTTCACTTATGAATGAGATGCTTTCAAGCAGTGATTGAAATTGAATGATTGATGGATGAGTTAAAAATTGGCATTCATTTGTTGGATTATTTGCATTTTTCATCAGGATAATTTAATCGGTAACTTCTGGACAATATCCTGAAAAATGCATAATGCATTTCCATTATTAATTTAGGATTAGGTTATAAAATTAAGGAAATGATTTTTGCCTTCGTAGTTTTCTTATTCTGAATGTTTCAATCATCAATTTTTATGAAATATTTATTTTTTATCATTCAAATTCCTTTTTTATACTTCCTTATTCCAATGAAAAAAGAGAAAAAAATAGCAGTTAATTTTCGAAATTTCCTGAACTAATTTCTAAAATTAGATAATAGATTATTCATTTACTTTTTTTTTTTATTTTTTCTGATGATAAATGACTTTTTAAGTATATTATTTCTTTCAAAATAGATTTGATAGTATTATTTTTAGATTTCATACCATTCGAATCAAGCTATAATAGCAAGTGATTTAAGTAAGTCATAAAATGCGAAGTATGCAAAAGAGGAAAAAGAAACAAAGTTAGATGATTTTGAAAATCACAAGTTTCCCTAATTTTCACACCTGTAAAAGTATACCATAATTTGTCTTCATTCATCCGAATTAATTGTTCTCGAAACTCGTCGCTTTTTTTTTCTTCCTTTTTTTTTCCTGGTTTTAAATCTTTTTATCATTTGTCATCTATCATCATTAATTTTGATCTCTGTTTTTCCGGTTTATCGTTTAATTCATCTTTCATCAATAACCTCCATTATGGTATTTGCTGTTTCATG